GATGGATGTGGCTGCTTTGGAAGGGCCACCTCGAGACTCCTAGCTGCCTGTGCCTTGCTCCTGCTGGTGGCTCGGGGACAGTTTCCCAGGCACTGTGGATAACATAACAACAGAGCCCACGTGCTGTCCCCGTGTGCCTGCCCCTGACCTGGTCGGTCATGAGCTGGCTCAGCGGGACGCTGTCCCCTGTGCTGCTTCCCTCTATGCAGAGGTCAGGAGAGGAGGGTCACAGCTGCCCACTGAGTTGTCCTTGGTGGGGTGGACCTGCAGACCCAGGCAGCTGGCCCCGGGGGCAGACCCTTTGCCCCGAGGCGGGACTGCGGCCGGTGCTCCTTGCCCTCCTTGTCACCCAGTGCGTGTGTCCCCGTCTTTACATGTTTGTTGGATGGAAATCAAATGAAAGTAAATCCGTGGGCTCATCTCAGGGATCCAGGCCAGCTCCCACGGCAGGACGGGGCTGGACGGGGCTGGACGGGCTGGAGAGAGATCAGATCTGAGGTCTGTTCAGGAACAGAAAGAGGTGGCTTCCAGGGGCACAGCACCGGAGCTGCTGGTTGGACGGCGTCTCCCCATCCTGCCTGGGCGCCTGCCCGCTGCTCCGACACCCGGGATCCGCAGCGTCCTCTGAACCCTGACCTCATCGGCCCCTGGCCAGTCCCCTCAAGGGCACGGCTCCCTCTGCGTCTGGGCAGGTTCTGGAGGACCCTGCAATGTCAAGGCCTTTCCCTGTCCGCCAGCCTCTACCCACACAGAACCTCGGTTCCAAGGCCGCGGGGCACAGGGCAGGCTGCAGCAGAGACGCCCGCTCAGGAGGGCGCGGCGGGGCCCCAGGAGCAGACGGCGCTTCCCTGCTCCCGGCTCAGAGCCAAGGTCAAGGTTTAATATTCAAAATCCTGAGTGGGTGGCCCACGGGGGACAGTGGGAAGCCCCCCTGACTCCGCTGTTCACCCGCATCAGCTTTCCCAAGTGCAGAGCGTGGCATGGCTCCGAGGGGCACTGTCCCCACTGAGGAAGTGAGGGTCAGGTCACCTCCGGGGCCGGGATCCATGGCCGCTGCCCAGCTTGGAACTCTCCAGCTCTGGGCCCTTGGGCGGGGTTCTCGGCCTCTTGGGACCTCAGTTTCCTCCTCTGTCGAAGGAGCATCGAGGCAACGCTTCTCAGAGCTCCGTGGGGAGGGGACGATCGCAGGCTGACGGTCGAGGCCGCAGGGTCTGTGGTGTGTTGGGTGTGGAATGGGAAATAGTCTGCATTTCTCCAGGTTACAAACCAAGCCAAGTCTCTTTATTCAGAAGAGAAAAAAAAATTACATCATCAGCAAATTTACGGACCTGTGCCCTCACTTCCTCCCCTTTCCTGTGTTTGGAGACTTTGGGAAGAGTGGGCAACTGTGTGACCTTTAGAAAATCACGGAACCTCTCTGGACTTAACGTTATTCATCTATCAAAATGGAAGTAGTAGGTCCCAAACTCAGGCTGCCGATGCAGGCAGGGGAGGGAGTCAGTCACTGTTTATCCAGCTCTTGGGGAATACCGTACACCTCTCAGCATCTGCAGGGGACATCAGGGGACTCCCATGTATCAACATCTGCAGAAGCTCTAGTCCCTTGTATAAATGGCATAGTATTTGCACACAACCTGCATGCATCCCCCCATCTTCCTCATGCCCTCCCTAGACGACACATAACACCTAATACAATATAAGAGTGGAGCTTGGGGCCCTGGACAGCTGCACAGGTTGGACAACCAGGAAGCTACCTGTCTCACCTTAGAAGAGGTGCTGGTCAGCTTTCTGTCACTATAATAAAACACCAGAGGTCATCAGCTTATAAAGTGGAAAGGTTTGTTTGGGCTCACAGTCCATTATTGATTGGTTTCTTCCTGTTGTACCTGTAACAAAGCAGCACATCATGGCAGGTGAGTGTGGCGGAGCAAAACCTGTCACCTCAAGGCCAGGAACTGACCAGAGAGGAAGAGTCCCACATGCCTCTCAAGCATGTGCCCCAGTGACCTTAAAACTAGTCACCAGGCCCCACCTCTGTAAGCTTTCGCCACCTCCCAACAGTGACAAGAATGGGACCAAACTTACAACCATGGGCCATTGGGGGACTTGTCCAGGCTCTAGCAGAAGGCCAGTGATGACACCATGACCAGACAACGGGCCCCAGAGAGTGGAGGCCCTGCCCTCCAAAAACCACAGGACCTTGGCACGTGAGGAAGATCCGGTGTGTGGCCCTGGTTTTTGGTCTGCAGCAGGTTCCCAGAATTCTTGGATAAGCTGAGAGAAAGGGGCTACCTGCCTTCTCCCTCCCTGGAGAACTGAGACTGAGTGTCCTGGGCCGGGTTGGCGTGACTGAGATGGAGGGAGCCACGTGACGGTCCTCGTGTCTGAGCACCAGGCCACAGAGGCCCCTGGGGGTCCAGCCACATGAACGGTCGGTTTCCCTGACTGTGACGACAGGCCTGAGGTAGATCACGGACAGAGGCTCCGCTTCAGATATTTCAGTCCGTGATGGGTTGGACCGATGGCTCTGGGCCTGGGGCAAGTGGCATGTCTTGGCAGGGGAACCCGGCAGAGGAGACCGCCCACCTTGTGGTGGCCAGGAAGCAAAAGAGAGGGACAGGAAGGGACCAGGTGCCCATATCCCTTCAAGGCCAAGTCCCTGGCCCAGCTTCCTCCCGCTAGGCACCCCCTAGAGCCACCACCTCCAGTTGCACCAAAGGCTGGGACCACGCCTTTAACCAATGGACCGGGGGACCCTCATGGAGCCCTAGCGGTCCTGGCCCACTCCCCAGGACAGCCCTGAGGCCTTGGTGTGGTGGTCTTTCCCAGATGCCCGGCAGCCTCCGGGGTCTTGAGATGCTCCAAGGGGCCTGTGGACCTGGCTCTGGCCACGCAAGCCGTCGGGCAGCCCAGGCAGGCCTTTGGCTCAGGCGTGGGGACACCAGGCTGCAAGGCCGCGCCAGGTCTCGGCTGGGAGCCACAGAGCAGGAGATGGCCCTGGGGTGGGCGCCTTCTGGGGAGAGTGGGACGGGGCTGGGGCAGGTGGCAGGGCTGGGAGACGCTGCCCACCAGCCGCCCGAGCTTACCAACTGACAACGAGGACTGCCACCCGGGACGTGATGGACAGACGGTCCCTCTTCCCCCTTCAGTCACATGGAGCTGGCTCAGGACAGCTCCAGCTCTTCGGGCTGGGGTGGGAGGCGCCTCCTTGCCCTTGACCCTGCAGGTGCTCTTCCGCGGGCGCCTCCACCCATTGGGTGCCCTTGGCCTCAGACCCTCACAGGCCTTTCACAGTCAGCTCCTCAGCCCGGGCTGGGGGCCGCCGCCACCCTGTCCCCAGGGGAGCTGGTCAGGGATCCCCAGAGAGGCAGAACATGTCTGTGTCATACGCGTGCCCTGTCCCCACTTCCCACACTTGGCCTTTGATTTCAGCTGGGCTTGTTGGGGGCACTGAGGGCGTATTTGACCTGCAGTGGGTTTGTGGGGCACGAGCCCACTGTGAGTCAAAGAGCTTCTGTGCGTGTGTGTGTGTGTGTGTGTGTGTGTGTGTGTAGGCAGACAGACAGACAGACAGACAGACCGAGACTGGAAGGAACCATGCAGTTACAAAGTCTGCCGGGTCCCAGCCCACAGGTGGCCACAGGCTGGAGGCCAGGAGAGGTGACACTGCGGCATCTGCCTCTGCAGAGGGAGGCTGGTCTTTCTGTTCCACTTGGGCTTCACCTAATAAGACGAGGCTCACCACACCAGGCAGGGGACTGCTTCACCCAAAGTCCATCCATTCGAATGCTATTCTCATCCAAAAGTGCCCTCACAGAAACATCTAAAATAATGTTTGGCCGAGGATCCGGGCCCTGTGGCCAGGTGAGTTGAGACATACAACCAACCATCACGTGAGATGAACTGACCTGGCAGGTAACGGGGCTCAGGCCTGACTCGGGAGGCCCAGCTTCAGGCCACAGCCCCTCCCCACAGCCCCCCCTCCAGCCGTGGCCAGCTAAGAGGCCCGTGTTTGCTGGAGACAGTAATGGATGCAGCCTGCCAGCTCATGAAGTCCTGGGGGTTGTTTCCCAGGAAGAGGCTCAAGGGAACAAGTGAGTTATTTTAGGGTCGAAAGCCACATATGAGGTGGAGACCCTTGGGTGGCACCGCGGATATCGCCAGCTTTATAGGCCAAATGATCACGTGTCCATCTCACTGCTCGAGCCTCTGGGGATTCTATTTTCACCTCTCCATCTCCTGATTAATGTACCCAAAACGGTTTGCAGACTATCTTCTCCTCCAAGTGACTGCAACCAGCCCAGTGCTGGGAAGTTCAGGTCCCAGGTCCCTGGCCACTGTACACCTGGTTGCAACCTGGAATCCACCCATGTGGGGCCGGGGATGAAGGGTGCAGGCGGCCGGGCAGAGCGTGGCAAAGTGCTGTCTTGTGATCAGCAGCCACAGACCTCGGAGAGGCCACAGGCTTGACAAAGACTCAGACCTGGAACCCAGTACCGGCTCACTAGCTGTGTGACCTGGCTGGAGTATCCTAACCTCTCTGTGTCTCCTTCCTCTCCATGAGTACAACAGGGAAAAAAAAAATAATCTGTCTCATGAACAAAACCGCGCATCCTGTTTCCCTCTCTGGCTTGGCCAATTAGAGAGCTCAGAGTTCACAGTCCAGGTTCAGAGTCCACAGTGTCCTTTGCACCACATGACACCTTTGCTCCCCCTCCACCTCCCCACTACAGCGTGAACTACTAAGGACACGTTGCAGCCCGTCGTCCCCAGGGCTCCGACCAGCAGCAAGCCTGTGTGGATCCAGTAGCGACGTTCACGTTCCTAGCTGGGCGCTGCGTGCATTGCTTGGACTCAGGTGCCACCCACGGCCAGGAGCACGTGGGGCCACAGTCATCCCTCCCATTCTGCAGATGACAGTAGGTGATTTCCCAAGGTCCAGGAGCGGGGAAGTGGTGCACCGAGGTTGGAGGCTGCTTCGCCGCCCACCTTGCACAGGAGGGGTCTCCCCAGGCCTCAGGACGTGCTCCTCGTCCCCGAGGGGTCATCTTTGCGTGGCATTCCCACATCTGTCACTCAAACACTCTCACCGACTCTCCCACCCTCTGTGCGAGTCGAGGGGGCCCCACCGCGAGGCTGGCCTGCTCCCCAGCCTGGCCTGCCCAGGGCAGAGCCCCTTTGTCCTTAGGACCCCACCACTGCTGCACGGGGTGGGGACAGTCATCCCACTTCATATACGTGGACGCTGAGGTTCTGAGAGGTGGAGTCCCCGTCCAAGTCACTCAAGTACTGACCCAGGTCTGGGCCCCCCCCAGAGGCCAGCCCACATTTTCTGCATCACTAAGTGGAAGCAGGAGAAGACCCGGACTTTCCCACATGGGGGACACCCGTCTCTGACGTCAACTTGTCGGTGGGGGGGGCAATTCCTTCCTCCTCTGGCCTCAGCTTCTCCATCTGTGAACTGGGAGACATTGACCCCCCCAGGAGCAAGAGCTTACCCTCCAGGTCAGACTCCCCACTGCAAGTTCCAGCGACACCGGCTGCACGACGTTGGGTCATCCAACCTGTCTGTGCCCCGTCCCCTCCTGTGTGAAGTGGAGGGGGACAGCAACTGTCTCTCGCTCTTGGAGTCCTGGAGTGGAGTGAGATGAAGGCACCCGTCCAGGCCTGGCGCACGCTGGCAGTGAGAAACCAGGCTAGATGTTCCTGGGAGAGTGAAGCGTGTCTGAGAGCCTGTCTGGCTGGAGCTCGAGGTCCACTGGGCCGTCCCCCACCCTCTGCAGCCTTGGGGCAGAAACCCAGGGGAGGTGGTGCTCCTGGCCCTCACGGTTCCAGAGCAGGGGGACCGGAAGGAGAGGCGACCACCTCTCCCACACACGAGCCCAGCCAATGACCCAGAGCTACTTCTTGGGTATGATGGAGCTGCCTATCACACCCAGTGTGACTGACCACCATCCCTGCCCAGTGGGCAGCCTAGTCCAGCTTCCCACGGAGAGACCTGGAGCTGCCTGAGACCAGCAGATCCGCCTTCCCGCAAACTGGGCTGGAGCCCAACAATTTCAGGGACCCCCTAAGCAAGTACCTAGCTCAGGGGTGACCGTCCCCACCCCCACCCAGGAAAAGAGAAATGCGGATTGAAACAGGTCAGAATCAGTGAGCGAGTCGCTGGTTTCTCCTCTGTGTGACTGGAGGGGGTAGACTTTGCCCTGCACCCTTGAGGTTCCCCGGGTAATTGGACTTGAGCCTGAACTACCCAGTGCTCCAGGCCTAGAGGTGAGACATCACTGCTGTCTATGGTGATCTGGGGAGCACAGTCGAGGAAAAGACACAGGCAGGAAAATCAGACAAGGCTTCTCAGAGCAGGTGGCCCCTGAGCTGGGTCTTAAGGTAGAGGAGGGAGTCAGGCAGTCAGCCTGACGGGCGGAGTGTGCAGTTGAGGCAAAGATAGTCATTAAACAGCATCAATCTTTCCAGTAGTCCACAGGTACCAGGCAATAAGGGACACAGCAGGAAGAGATGGTGGCCAGGCTGGCAAGTGGTTGGGGACCCCAGAGCCGTTGTTGTTTGGAAGCTTTCTAGGAGATGTCGGCATCATCTCATTTCCTGCGCCCTCTTTTCAGATGAGCAAGCTGAAGCACGGGAAGGCAAAGCTGTTGCTCTGAGGTCAATTAATAGTAATGCATCCGGGAATGGAACCCAATCCACCTGCTCCCAAACTGAAGGCCTTAAGGGCCCATTCCTCCAACTCTAAAGACTCTGGGTAATCCTGGAAGCCAAGGTAGAGATTTTGGATTCCCCCACAAGGAGAACTGGGAGACTCCAGAGGATTTAAGCAGAAGATGATGGCAACATTCACAACTAACAGACAGACTGCAGGGTAGAGCAGAGAATGAACAAGAAGGATCCAGACAAAAGTAAAGTCAGAAAGTTACGCAAGCCTGGTGATCGCAAGCCCTGTCCCCATGGTCATGTCCCCACAATGTGTTCCTTGCTTGTCTCTCCCGCCCCTTCACTCCCTGGATGCTCCAGTCACACAAAACCATTTGGCTCCTCCCTGCACAGGAATGTCACTTGTCCTGGATGTGCCTCAGCCTCAGCAGTCTCTCTGTGGCTCGTCACCTCCTGTCCACTCACCTTTGGGTGTTCCTTGCCCCCTTACCTCTTTCCACAGGGCTGGATGGCTGTGGCCTGTGTCCTCAGTTCCCCTTTAAGCTCATTCACTGTCTTCCCATCGTAGACAGGGCAGATCCTGTCCCCTAGGCCACCCTGACCGCCCGGTACCCAACATACAGAGCCACTCCTGGCACCAAGGTGAAGGGGGCTCTGAGGTAGGTGGCAAGGCCTCCTTGCAGGACCTTCCACACAGTCCCCTCCCTCAAAGGCACACTCCCACTGGACTTCCCTCCCCACCCTGGCTCACAGCACCTCTCCTGGCCTCGGAGGCCTTTCCTCATAATCCAGGCACCTAAGGACAGTTTTAAGGGCAGTTCCCAATCTCAGGCCCAGGCGCAGTGTCCTCTGGAGACCTGGATGCAAGTGAGTTGGCTCAGGGGTCTCTACTTTCGGAGGACTGCCAGGTCCACTCCCACCCTGTTCAGCTGGGCTGGGGCCCCTTCCTGGGCTGCTCCCAGGCCTGTCTCTCCCACTGGGTGGGCCCCCATATAGCTCCACGTCCACTCCCGTGGGAGGCAGAGCCTACCCGTGGACGAGCGGGCAATGGCAGGACTGAATGACCTGGTCAGCCCGGGCATCGCAGCCAGCACTTTGACCTCAACGATGCCCAGCGTTTGCCCAGGGCTTGGAGGTCGCCCCAGCTCAGCCTGGCAGGACTGAAGGGGCCCCCGTGAGAGCCACGTGTCCCTCTGCTCAGGGGCAGGGACGGGCGATGCCTACAGACTGCAGAGACGCACTTGGCACAGAGATGGGTGCCTGGCCTCTTGGGAACCCCTTGCTGTTCGTCTCTCTTCCCTTCTATCCTTGCTTCCCATCTGGGGGGCCCGATGGTGCAGCCCTCTGGTCACCTGTTTTAGCCACCTGCTAACTTGGGCGGCCGGCACAGGACTGGTCTCACAGGGGTCCGCAGACTTCCCCTCCTTCCACCTGGGAGGAGCAGGGGACGCCTGGGCCACCCGTTCCTGGAAATGCTGCGACCTTGAGGCGTGGGGTGGAGCGGGGCCCCTGGGGCACCACAGGGTCTCCACGTCAGGAAGGAGGTGGGTCTGAGGACGCGTCCCCCGTGCCAGGCACTCTCCACACAGTGTCCAGTCTTCGCAGGGGGCTCAGGAATGGCGTGGAGGCTGCGTTTTCCAGATGCGCAAGCTCAGGCCCCAGAGGAGAGTGTCTGGCTCTGCTGCATGGGTGCCGGAGCCAGGGACCCAGACAGGCTCCGGTGGCCCTGAGGGTTTGCAGTGTCCTTCAGCTGCTGGATCTCTGGTGCTCTGTGGTCCTCTCCTGTCACTTGTCCGCCCTCAGCTCCCCTGACCCAGTTCTTGCTGCCGAGGCCAAGGGCTCCGAATGGATTTGAACCTGGCCTTCCCCCGGCTGCTTTTCATTGGAACGTCCTCAGGTTTCCAGACTTTGAAGATGTTTCGAGGGCACAGTGAGCCAGGTCTGAGCCACACGGAGCAGGACTGTCCCTGGGAGGAAGCTGGACGCCTGTCCTCTGGGAGCACATGTGGCAATTCCTGACCTTCCCTCCCCTCTCTCCCCCCCACACTCCTTCCCTCCCCTCTCCTCCCCTCCCCTCCCTCCCCTCTCCTCCCCTCCCCTCCTCTCTTCTTCAGATCCAGGTCTCCCTGGGGAGGTCCTCCTGACCCTGAGGGACAGACCTGGGCCAGAGCTACTGCTGGACTTGGGCAAACTGAGGAAGCAGGAGGAGCCACAAGCCACCTGCCCCCGAGACCACAGCCCCCTCATGGAGAAGCCACCGCAGCCCTGCCCTGGCCCTGGCCCTGGCTCTATGTGGCGGCTGTGGGTCCAGCTGAGGCCTTTCTGGAACATAACATGTGGCACGAACACAGCTTGGTTCCAACTGACGGGGGATTAGAGGAACTGGAAACGCACAGGGTCACAAGGATTTCAGCAGGAATCGCATCCACTCACACGGTGTCCCTAGGCAGCCCTACAGGGGGGACGAGGAGCAGGGCTCAGGCCACCTGGGACCTGCCATCCAGCACACAGTGCCCAGCGCAGCGTGCGTAGAGGCGTGCGGGCGTCTGCGTGAGAGAAGCTCGTGCACGGCTGCAGGCCTGTGTGTGGGTGTGAGGGTGGTGAACATGGGGTGCGTGCACAGAGCCCGCGTGTGATCCCTGTGAGTCTGCATACGTGGTGTGAACGCGTGCCGTGTGTGAATGTGTGTGCGTGTGCGTGAAGGGGGCAGGAGGCAGCGCTGCCGTAAGTTCTCACATCACCTGAGCGCCTCTCTTGCTTCTGAAAGGAGAAGTGGGGGCTCCCAGGTCTTTTGAGACACTGGGGACCAAGTCAGGGAGACCAGGGGGCCCGTGTCAGCCAAGGAGGAGAAAAGGGGAACTTCGGGCCAGGGAGATGTGGTGCCTGGGGTGGACGACCAGAGAGCTGGACTCTGAGCCTGTCGGGCCTGGTGTGGCCTCTTCCTGCCTCTCCATGACAGCGAGAAGCTGGGCAGGTCCCTTCCCTCCAGACCTAGAGGATGGGCTGAGGGAGCTTAAAGCATTCGTGGAGAGACAGAGAAGGGCACGCGGGAGCCGGCTCCAGGCCTGCACCGGGCGGGTCCGAGCTCTTCTCTGTTAGAATCTTCTGTGGCTGGACCCCGGGGGGAGAGCCCCATGTCCCCATGCCAGAGATGACAGAATGAGGCCCGAGGTCTCAGGGTCATGGGGGGAGAGTCAGGACCAGACCCCGGAGCTATTTGGTTTCAAAGTCACCGTGTCACCTCTTCCACTGAGGCTCTGGCTGGGCCCGGGCCAGCCTGGGCCACCCTCCACTACCGGTCGAGCAGAGAGGAGGTGCTTTCTGGTGGGACACACTGTGGCTGCAGACGGAGAGACAGGAAGTAGCCTCCAGAGAAGGTCCACTGTTTCCTGGGAGCGAGGAGGGTCACCTGCTCCCGTCTGCCAGGGTCTGGAAGTGTCTGTGGGCTGAGCGGGGTGGGGGGTGGGGCCCAGACATAGCCTAGACCTGGACACGCCACCTCCCTCCCATGTGGCCCTCCTGACCTGTGACCAGTGATGGTCCACAGGAGCCGTGGGTCCCTTCCCATGGA